AGACAGACGCCCAATTTCAAGGTGTTAATTACGGAGTCAAATTTCTTTTAAGTCGTATTCAAGGTAACCTGGTTACTTGATTGTGCTAAAATATGGCACGCAGCCTCATTAGCTTAGCGTTGCAGACGTATATCCTAACACATCACACCAATGCCACGTTGAAAGCATTTTCTGATGACTGTTACAGATCATGCACATTTTCAGATAATTATTGATTACAATAAACTACAGAGGCTTAACAAATTCCAGCCGCATTATGTGAATGTGTCGTCGATGGCGGCATTCCAGTTTCATGCATGTCGCAGTTAAAACTTCGGCCTCTCGTCGGATAAGCTTTGACGGAAAAATGTTGCGTTGTCGGGAGAGACGGGAGGAATGTGCAGGAGGAATGAACAAGGTTGTAACTTTGTGTTTCAAGTTGGTGGGACGAGGAAGAAGTGCTGATGCACCCGCAGTTACTGGAAGGCCTTTTGTTTTATATGGGCGAAGAATGATGCCAAAACTTTAAATGTGAACGCCAGACAGCCTTATGGAATAAATCAGTCTATACTTCCCGATCAGGGTTGTCTTATTAATTGCACGTTTCAAAAGCAGAAGAAGGAACTTTTGTGTCAACCAAATGAGTCCTTGTCAGGACAAACTTTGTATTTTTCAGTCATGTGACTCTGACTCCACAGCCGGTTGGCTAAACCTTTTCTCCTGCTGACTCACACATAACAGATGAGATATGATTTAATATATCAAATGATAAAGTGACAAAACCTTCTTTGGGTCTGGTTGGAGCACTTGGTGAGTAGAGTTATTACTGGATTCTATCAAATGTGGCTTAAAGCTGAGATGTTTGGACATGTAAAATATATATATTCTCTCTGTGTATAAATATATAAATCGTTTGGTTTCTGTCAGTTTTGTGAAGAAAATAACTCTTTTCAAGTTTGAAGTATTTATTACCAGAAAAAAAACGTGATAATGTCTAGAATATTTATTAATTATTATTTTCGTCTTGGTAGTTGACTAAAAACATACAATAGGGATCATATAACAGGTGACGATGCTTATTAATCTGAATAATAGATATTTTTGGTCATTTTGATCTTTATTAGTAAAACAATTATGGGTTGGACTTTCTGAGTTTTCACACTATATATAGTGTTTTTCACACTATAACCACCAAACAGCTGAATTGATCTTTTTTATAAATGTATTTGTGGAGGGGAAAAAAACCCAACAAACTGTTTTCTTCGGCATCTAACTCAAAGAAGTTTATTCATAGAAATGTTATTGGAGAAGATTTTTGTGATTTTGAAGCTTTTAACACTTAAAAAAAAATAAATCTATTTTAATGTTGCTACTGTAACTACCCCATGCCTTGAGATATCACTTACATTTTTCCTTGGCGTTCAGTTAACCCTCCCCTTCAGTCCTCCTGATCTTCTGTATTTATGGTTTCTCTCCCTGTGGCTCGGACTGAGAGCTGTTCCAGGAAATGCCTAGATCCACTTTTTTCTCTCGCTCTGAAGGCAAACTGGCCGACATTCCTCTTGGCTCTGTAAACAGAGAGTCATGGGATTGACATCTGCATATACACACGTGTTAAGTGTGCACTGGAGCAGTAGCGTCATGCTTGTGGATCTGTTTTGACTCGTCAGCGTTGGGAAATTCATTCAGAGGCGTCGGTTAGGTGTTTTGTTTTGGGTTTTTTAACAGACTTTCTCCTGTTTGGTAATAAAGGTGGATAGTTTGAAGGCAGATGGTTCAGGTATTGCTGCAGATGTTGTGAATTTCCTGAAGCACTGGGTTTTACATTCCTGCTTCTGCTCTAGGACAGAGAGATTTTTCCTACATGGGTTATTGTGACCTGCAGAAATATTCATACACCTTGAACATATTTTTTTTTTATCTGACGTTTTTCACATTCCATTCACAAACTTTAATCTTTGTCACTGAGATTTATTTGACAGACTAACATAAAGTAGTTCATAATTATGAAGAGGGAGGCAAAGAGTGCATGGTTTCTCTAATTATTCCCACAAACAGAAATATGAACCTCCTCTGCTCTCCATTAGCATGGAAAGAACACATCAGTGTATCTAATATATGTTGCTTACTGGCACACAGATAACGTACGCCTGCCTTTTTCTTGATAAAGTGTCCTTTAAAGAAAAAAGTACAAGTTGCGTATGACTATCCCTGATATGCTTGCGGCAAATCTGTCAAAGCCTGCCGTTAGCACATCCAACTCTGTTGCTAGCATATTTGAGCTTCTCACTAGCATATCCCAGTTTGCTGTTAGCATATCCAAGGTTGTCACTAGCATGTCGAAGCTTGTTGCTAGAATATTTGAGCTTCTCGCTAGCATAGCCAGTCTGTCACTAGCATATCCAAGAAGCCCAAATATGCTAGTGACTAGCATATTTGGGCTTCACGCTAGCATATCCAAGCTTGTTGCTAGAATATTTGAGCTGCTCGTTAGCATAGCCAGTCTGTCACTAGCATATTCAAGGTTGTCACTAGCATATCGAAGCTTGTTGCTAGAATATTTGAGCTTCTCGCTAGCATATCCCAGTTTGCCGTTAGCATATCCAAGGTTGTCACTAGCATGTCGAAGCTTGTTGCTAGAATATTTGAGCTTCTCACTAGCATAGCCAAGTCTGTCACTAGCATGTCCGAGTTTAACAGTGGTATATCCGAGCCCATTAGCCACCAGCTCCTTCAAAGCTAATGCATCCTTTTCATTTACTAGCACTCAGTTACTGGTGCTAGCCCATAGTTAATCAGATCAGTAGATGACTTCTGAATAGATAGCCTGTTGCTATCTATTCAGATAGTAGGTATCTGAATAGAAAGTAGGTATCGCTAAGTAATCAACAGTTTGAACTAAAACTGAACCATAGTGAAAAGGCAGTCAGGGGAACCTCCATGAAAACCCAAAGGCTGTAAAAGACTTGAAACCAGGGCAAAGGTTCACCTCCCAGCTCTAAATATGCAGCCAAAAACCTTCAACATAATTGAAGACCTGCGCCTGGGACTGCAGCCAACCGTGTCAACTCAGGACGGCTAAAAACAAACCCCACTAGGACCGTGTTGATGTGGACGTCAGATTCTGCTGGATGTGTGTATGAGCAGCAGGCCAGTCGTGAACACAGAATTAGGAACATCGATTATCCGGCTGCGGCTTCATCCGTATTGTGCTAAAAGCATTCGATTGATTGGCCTCGATAAGCCACTGCAGAAGTTAAACTTTTCAATGTAAACCGAAATGAACGGTGATGAGCTTTTGTTTGTTTGTTTGTTTGTTTGTTTTATCAAAATGTCAGCAGAAACTGTGTATGAAGAGTGAATCCACAGTGTTCGTCAGGGATGATTAGATCGTCTTCTTGGCAGCTGCAAGCCACTTCTTCTGTCGTCGGAGCCTCGGGCCTTTCGTACTATTTTCAAAATATCAAGTCCCTCTGTTTGTAGGAGAAAGACAATCAGTGAGGAGGAATCCTTAGAAAACTGGCTCTTTATTTGAATCTGCGGGAAAGCCAGAGATATACTGGAAGCACTGGTGGAATTACCGACTAACCCATATATTGAAGCCATAAAATCCTCCATCAGTACTGGGCCTGCCTGAGATTATGCTTGATGGTTTATTGGCTTTGTCATCTTGTGAACTCAATACTGTGTGTGTGTGTTTGTGTGTGTGTGTGTGTGTGAGTGAGAGAGAGAGAGGGACAGAGAAAGAGGGAGGAGATTTCTCAATCACAGCGTGCCAAAACTCATCTGAGTGACTGTGTGTTTGTGTATTATGCTGTTGAAATGGAGCTGCGGGGATCTGGAACTGATACAGACTGTTTCTCTTTATTTACACTGACGCACACACGCACGCACACACACACACACACGCACACACACACATGCACATATAGATTCTCATGACTTGGACAGCTTCTGCTTGTCTGAAGCAAAAGCAAAGTCACACTCGGTATTCAGTCTGGACATGTTGGGATTGAGAAATTCATTCCACTGCCACCATTCTTCTCTGAACGGTTTGATGATTCATGAGATTTTTGTATTTTTCCAGTTCTATTTTTTTTTTTTTCAGGAGCCAGGTTTTCATAGTTGTGGATGGACCAAGACAAAGCTGTGTGTTTATGTAACAGGATTCAGTCCAGAGGTCCAGTTGGATGGTGAAGTGCTGTTTCCCTCACTGAATGAATCAGAATGAAACTTTGACTTCAGTCTTTTTGTCAATCACAGTTCAGGAAGATGTAGAAACGTTGTTAAAGGCTTAATAGAGGAGCAAAGTTGTGATGACTTTCTGAAGGCGGAGTTTCAGAAAGAGCAGGAGCTTCTTAAAGAGACAGAGGCCCAATATCAAGGCGTTAAACCAGTAAGTCAAATTTTTTAAGTCATGTTTGATATACATAGGTTTTTACAAAAGCTGACTTTCTGCATCTCCAGGTTTTATTTTGTTAAAATTGTTCTACTGCAGCAGTTCAGCTATGGATGGTGAGCAAAAGAATCGTCCTCTTGCCCTCCAGGGTTGTGCACATGCGCAAAATTTCTGGATGCAAACACTAACATGCAACACGTCTGTGTTCATATTTGTTTCATAAATAAGCTCATTCCCTTCTCCTCCGTCTGGGTAGTGTTCCTGTTCTCTACTGATGTGAATGTGTGGAACATGCTGTGGTGGAGCAGAGCAGCTGGTAATATGGAGGTTCTGCAGTCGCATCTGTTGACTGCAGAACCTGTGCTCAACAGAATGGGTCTGAATGGGTCTGCATATGTGGAAGCAGGAGAGCTGCTTTGATCAGTTTTAATGATGCCCTCGCATGGACTTTCGTTTGTGGTTCTCTGGCTTCCCCACCAAAGAACCAGGAAGTTTGAGTTCACTCAACCCTGGTGCTTTTCCCAACAACTGTCTCTCAGCAGAGCAGCCAAACAGAATATATGAAACAATAAGGTGATAAGAGGCCAGTATCTTGTTCACACACGTCTCCGCCCGCCCGTCCTCACTCCTCCCTCTCCATCTTCCCTCCACCCCTCTGTGTGCAGCATTGCCAGTCTTGGTGGCTGGGAAGAGAGGAGGCATGCAGCAGCCGCTCAGTCGCATAGTCTATTGTTTTTGACCACTGCACTGAGGGCGAAGGAAGAATTTGCTGAGGATTTTCCTCCAACTTTCTGGCTACAAGTTCTGCAGAAAACTTTTGTCTCACTGTTCTGCGGTCCAGAAAGTTGGCAGAGTTTCATGGACACATTTCTACGGACAAGCCGTCTTGTGAGGGAGGAAGTTGAGAGGACAGTTCGCCTTGAAAGACCAGCTGATCTGAAGGAGCAGCATCTCCTGAGCGGAAACGAGAGAGAGCTGATCTCGCCTCAGGGAAGGCGCCGGACTGGAGGATCCAGCCGCAGACCAGGGCGAAGTAACCTCTCGAAAGGCGAGGTGTTGTGATTTCGTGAGGATTGTTTCGGGCGTTGCAGCCATGGCGGGGATGTACGGATGCTTCAAGGTCAGGAAGTAAGTCTCCAATCAGAGTTTGTTCAGCATCTGAACTGATTCGTCCAGAAATTTCTCATTCACGTGTTTGTAACTCCAGACTTCAGGAGGCGGGAATGTTGGTCAATCCTCTTAATGTGCTTTACAAAAAACAGACCAGTGCTGCTCTGCAATGGGAATCTTGATTTCAGCTGAAGTTTATTTGAACTCCCTGTGACGGTGGCGGATACAACAGCTTGGTATTAACCTGCATGAGTCAGAGCTGATCTGAGGAACCGACTGGATGTGCCAGGACTTTATGGTTAGTCAGAGAGTCTCAGAAGTGAATAGCTTTTGTTATTCTCTGCTGTCAACCGACAGTAATGGGGTGAGTGTGGTTTCCTGTCAATTTTCTTGGGACCGAATCAACTCCTGTTGCTCAACAAGTGGGTTCTGCACTCCACACCTATCAGAGATTTTTTTATTTTGTTATTTTTGAACTCTTTGGAGCTCATTTCTGCCCTCGCTGATGGAGATCCTCGGTGGGGTTGAGCGCTTTGACTAAATTTAGCGCTCCGGGCTTGGCAGTGCGTTTCAGCCGCAGAGGGTTAGCATAATGACTGCCTTTTAGTTTTCAGCCTCCAGTGGAGGATCTTTTTTCGTAGCAAAGTCAGTAGATGTGGTGGCGGTGGCCGCAGATTTCCCCTTCCACCGTCTTTGTCTTCATTCCTGCCGGGACGGGGCAACAATGCCGCGGCTTTTCGCCTCAGACAAACATTTTTACTTGTGTGGCACTCAGAACATGAAAGCTGTGGCTCAGTAGAGTCACAGTCGGGGAAAATGCTGCAAGTTTGGCAACCTCTGACATTTAACCCCAAGTTTCTCTTGTGCGTGCGGACGGGTCAGTACGTCCATTGGGTGATGTAAGCATGTCGCCAAAAAGAATTAATCAATTAATCTAAATGAGCTCAGCCATTTAGATTCTGATGGTGACATCATTTTGAAGGACAATCTGGTTCACCGTGACATCATCATCCATTTTGTTCATGGCTTCGGTCATAAGTGGTTTTAATTTCCTTTTTATTATTATTCAAAGTTTTTGGTCGTTGTGTTTCATTCTGGCTATTTTAACTATCTTCCCGTTGCAACGCTACGTTTGCTTCTGAAAATTTAAACTTATTGGTTTTTGAGATGGCGAACGTCCACTGCTACGCCATTATTATTATTATAATTCTTGACAACGGTCTGAAAAACAAAAATATTGTCGTTTGTCGCGATCATTTCTGGGTCAGTTTATTGTCCAGCAACATTTGTTCTGGCGACAGGCGTAGTGTGAAGCCTTTGAAGAGGTTTTATTCAAACGTTCTCAGTAACTTGTGACCCTCAGAATGCATTTAAATCAAACTTCTGTATTCGAAGAGACTTTATTCAATACTTTCCACAAATGTACCTTTGGATTATACTGATGTCCAGCATCCTGATGTCATCTCAGATTTCTATTTAAAACTATTGTTAAAGCTCTGGCTTTCTTCTTTTCAAAAGGTATTTATTTATGGATGGATGAAATTTCTCTGTGAAGCACATTTCAGCAACAAGGTGGTTAAAAGTGTTTTGCATCATAAACATAGAAATATGCCGTTCCACGACGCACTAGCAAGACCCAGTTGAAGGCGTCAGTCACCAAAAGCGAACATTAGAGGCATCCAGGAATACTCTCCTTCTGCAAAAATTCATATGCGAAAGGAAACAATTATGTGTGCAGATGAGAGTGTTACAGTTACAATCATCAATACATCAATTAATACCAATAAATATAAAAAATAGCTTTGTTATACAAATCACTTTTTCACGTGATTGTTGTCCTAAAGCGGCGCGTTGCAAATGGGAACGTTGTTAAAACTGATTTGCGTTGGAGGGATTATAATTGCTGTGACACAGTCAGAATCATAGTTACTTAAAAAAAAGTAATAAATAATTCTTATCACCATTTTTATTGATATCGCAATAGAACCGTAAAATATCGTGATAAAACGCTAAGTCCACATCGCCCAGTCCTACGATCTGATACGAACTGATTGCAGGTCAACATCCCTCTATATTCTGCTTTTAAAGGGCCATGTCCATAAATATAATAATATATTTAACTTTCAGTAGCATCAGAGAGCATCACAGTGGCAGTAATGATCATTTTGTTTCAGCCGCCCTGGAAAGAGCCACGCTGCTACAAATTGCCACAGTAGTAGAGTGGTTCATATTGAATAATCATATTTGGAGAGAAAGCTGCTTCCAGTAGCACATTTATGACTATGAATGCATAAATACTTTGTTTTCAGCATGCCTGGCATGAGGGAGTTCACCAGCTGATTAAAAACTGCAACTAGATTCCCGGAAAGGTGCAAATCGCCTTGTTACAAAATCTCTGTTTTTCATTTCTCGGCGTGTCTCCCTGTGCTTCTGCCCTGAGGCTCGTTAGGCCAGCGGAGCAGAGGCCTGTGTGTGCGGCAGGAACGGTGCTGCAGATGAATGCGCTCCATCCGGAGAGACTGATGGAGGTGTTCTTGTCCGGAGTCCATGTAGGGCTTGTTGCTAAGAGCGGAGCTCGCTTCAGTCAGACGTTCCAGTGCGGGAGGAACCGCCGAGCTTCAAGCGACCGGCTCTGAGCTGCTACCAGAACTCAGGAGTGAAACCTGAAACAAAAAGCACCAGCTGTAAAAACTGGAGCCTGATCAAGCCTGGGACGACCCGTTGACTTACATGGACGTGTTTTCTTTTAAAAAAACATGAATCAAGTTTTATTTGAAACAGGACAAAATCTATTGATGTGTTCAGTGACAAACGTTGTTGGAGTAGCTCAGGAATGCATTACAGCAACAGCAAAGTTAACCAAGGCTTTAAAAACAAAATGTTTTATCATAACGTTCCTGCAGTTTCATTTTCTTCGAATGAGATTGCAGGGAGTTCAGCCCACCTGTTGCTGCACACCACCAGTCAGCTGGCTGAAAGAAGGCTAATGTCACTAACAACGCTAACAGCGCTTCTCAAACTATTTGTTAAAAGTATACTACCTTATTTAATGCTTCAAAGTAACACTTTAGTGAGCATGCCAGGAAATATTAGGCCCATTGTGGATAGGAAGAAAAAAAAAAGAGGAGTAGATTTCTACCATAAAGTTCAGAAATTTTCAAGCAAAAAAACAAGAAAATTTCAGAGTTTGAAAAGTCGAAGATTTGCTAGAAAACCCTCCGGACGTTTTTAAATTAATCTACAAGAATATTTGAGAAAAAAAGCAAAGATTTATGCGTTTCAACCAGTGAAGGCTGTTGTCCAGCCTCCACTGCTGTATATAGAGCCAAAGTATAGATAACACTGACACAATAATAATTAAATATTAATAATCAAAACCGATCATATTCTGTGCGGTATCCACAATTAAGAAAAACTGTCTTTATTCTGTGTTTTTGAACATCAGAATTAAAAAAAAAAATTGTTATAAGAATAATATGTAGCTGTGACAAAACTCATTTGCATATCTCGCATATATTTATCTGTTTCTGGTTTTATATCAGAGCAGTTGATTCATGTTATGCATTAATGTTTTGGTGTTAATACTGTCTCTGTGACACAGTGAGATTCTGATACCAGCTGAGGCCTAAACAGAATCGAGTGCAAATAATGTATTATAATAATAACACTGTGTTGCTTTACAATGAGAGCTCTTGTTCCAGAGAATACTCTAAATTACACCCCATGTTTCTATTTTAGTAATTGAAAACAAAACCAGTGCGTCCTCCATCTTCATGTGGTTTGTTTCTACCAACATCCTTCTTTTAGGAGCCGCCGAGGTAGGACTGTGTCATGTTTTGGGGCTAAAGTTCAAACTCAAAGCTCAATTTTCCTCTTCGTTTTGCCTGCAACGACTCCAAGATCTGCTTGTCTCCAGCTTCTGGCTTCTGGGCCTTTATAGACTGATCAAAAATGTGTATGGCTGTAGACACGTGATCAATATCAATATGTAATAATTTCACTGAGCGTCAGTTGAGAACCCCAGGGCATTCTGGGTGACGTAGGCCATGACAGGCCCGTCACGATAAACGTTTGCCGGTGATAAATTGTCCCAGACGTTATTGCGATAAACGATGATATTGTTGTTTTGAGACAATTTTCCAGAAATGTTTTCATTGAAGACTATAAGGGATGTTTGGGGGAAATTAACACATTCACCACCCAAAAAGACAATGGAAATAAACTGGATTAAAGGACAGTCATTGCTTTACTATCAGAGTACTACAGTGTCTGTAGCGTTGGTGCCGTTTTTTCAGCAGATAATTCTTTAATAGATAACAAAGTCATTTTTTTAATCTGTAAAACTCACAAATATCTCAATGAATGCAGAACCTTTGACGGGTGTCTCATCTTTTCCAAACTGAGGTATTGCATCACTTCTGTTCTGAAGGAAGCAAAGATTGTTTTCACTGCAGTAAGTTTTCTTTTTAGTTTGAACGTCTGTTTCGGTTTATCATTCTGGAACATCTACAACAGGCGTCTGCCACTCCCGTCTTCTGGGGCCTTGAAACTTGTGGATGCCTCCCTGTTCCAACACACCTGGATTAAATGAATGAGTAAAGACGTTTGTAAAGCTTAATGACGTCCCGAGGATGAAGGGACGCTCTCAAAGGTTGCAGGACTGGAGTTGCTGACCCCAGATCTTCAAACAATAGTGCTATACTCCTTGATATGCTCAAACATCTCGGCCATCGTCTCTCACTCTGACTGTGGGCATCACAGGCAACAATAACACAGCCAACTGGCTAGATAATTCACATCGTTACAGTGCAAACAGTAATATTATTATTGCATAGTGATATGACTCACTTTAGCATGACTACTACAGTTCTAAGAACTGTTCAAAGATTAATCAACACTGACTATTTCCTGGGTGTGTCATAGTAAATGTCCATGCTCTGGAAGAGACTTGTCTGCTAGGAGGTTATGAAACTAATAGATTGATGCAAGCCAAGCCAGATGTTGTGCAAAATTGGTTT